AATTTTTGTAGACACTGTCAAACATCAGCTCCCCAGATATCATCAACAGAACCTGTGGATAAGATAAAGCTGAGTTTATTGTTCAATATGGTGATGGAGAACACCACCTCCACAGAACTTTGGCAACATCTTGTGGGGGGAGGCAAGGTCGGGATTTGTTGTGGACTGGGAGTTTCATTTGTGATGGGTCTTTCAATTCAGGGACTTGATTAGGATTGAGTAGGATCGTAATGTCCAGAAGAGAAAGAAATAGTGAGATAAGGATTTGTGAGGCAAGGCAAGGGAGTCTAAGAATCTTAAGTACAACTACCTGTTGGTTGAATTGTTGCTAGATGCTTCCAGAAGTTTCTGTAATAAACAACTAAGCTAGAGCAAGACAAAACAACAAACCAATCTCACTGCCGTCGAGTCAATTCAACTCATAGCAACCCCTCTGTGGGTTTCCAAGGTGGTATCTCTACGAAAGTAGATTGCCCAGTCTTCCTTCCAAGGAGTAGCTGGTGGGTTTGAATTCCCAGCCTTCTGGTTAGCAGTCATATGCCTTAGGCACTATGCCACCAGAGAGTCTCCTGGAATAGTAAAACCATGCCAGCTGTAAGACATGCAAGATAGCAAGCTGTGTTGGGCTAGGTGGTTTCTGTTGCCAGTATGTGTTTCATTTTTGGTCTCTTCAGAAATCCAGGGCATTCACTCTTTACCCTCGGATTTCAGGAATTTCAGCCAGCCTGCTCCTATCCCAACTCCCAAAGCCTTTGAGGGAGAGTTTACCAGCCTCGGGTGTTTTGCAGGTGGCCCTTTCCCAGGCCATGTGGGGCGAGGCTGGCTTAAATCTGATTAGATTTTCTGTCACTCCCACTCATCTGCTTTTCTTTGGAGTTTCTGGACAGCTGGTGCTATGGATCTGTTCTTATTGGTACATTTTTCTTATTATTTCAGTAATGTTGGAGGAGAAGACGTAAACATATTGCTCAGTTTGCCATTTAGCAATTCATGCCCTGGTGCAACACTTTCCTGTGACCCGGATATAGATGTGTTGGGCCTGGTTAAAGGTCATACATCTGAGGAAGCTGGGAGGGGCGGCTCTCTGCAGATGTCTCACTTACTCCAACTGTTCCTCTCTTCTCCTCAAGCCACACTCCTCAACCTGACATTACCTCACTGATTAAAACAGTTCTGTGACCTCACTCCACTTACAAGACCAAGCCCAGGCTGCTTCATATATCAAACCCTTCGAGACCTGGCGCTGGCTTAGCTCTTCCCTCCTTAGCCATCAATGCACCCACCTCCTGTCATAAGACCGTGTGCAATGTCTTGAACATCCAAGTCATTAATGTTAGAGTCTTCTGCCTTTACTGAGGGAGCCCTGGTGGCACAGTGGCTAAGCACTTAACTGCTAACCAAAAGGTCGGGAGTTTGAAGCTACCAGCTGCTGTGCTGGAGTAAGATGTGGCAGTCTGCTCCTGTCAAGATTACAGCTTTGGAAACCCTATATGGCAATTGTACTCTGACCTATAGGATCACTGAGTTGGAATTGATTCAATGGCAATGGGTTTGGTTTTTTGGTTTCCCTTTACTTATACTGCTCCCTGTTTGAAATGTTCTCTCTCTTTCCTCTCTTTCACACACATACACATACTCACACATACAAATACATGCACACAGAGAGAGACATTCAAATGACATCTGAATCATCTGAAGTGAGCCATATTTTCTTTATGTCATTACTATATAGTAGCTTAGATCCTGGAATACTATAACTTATTTCTTTGATTCCTTGCCCCTCTCCCCCCACTCACTGTGAAGATGGGTACTAAATCTTTGTTATCTTATATTGCTAGCACCTACCACCCAGCCTGATCCGAAGATGGTGCTGAATGCACATCTGTTAAATGAACAAACACTTGAATTAGGTTCTACAGAGAATCTGCTGTCTAAGAGTGAGATGATATACCAGGCTCTAGGGGTAGAGGTCTGAGTCAAGCTGACCCACCATGTAGAGTGGCAGTAAGACTCATAGAGTCTCTATGCACAGTGGACACTGCTGTTTACCTTAAGAGATACATAGCACAGGTGCTCTGGGCATTCCCACAAGGCAGAACTTAAATTCAGTTGTTGGGTTCAAGCTGAGCCTTCTGAAGGAGGGTGGGCAGGATTTGATCAAGTAGACTTGGTTGTCAGAGGAGGGGAAGTTGCATTTCAAGAAGAGGAAACTGGAAGATGAAAGGCTAGCAGATGGCACATTGTGGGTTGTGTTTGAAGAATAGCAAGTTAGAGAAGCCACTGAGAGGAATAGGACACTAGGACACAGACATTTTTATTAATAATGGTGATTTATTGAGGGTGCAAGGTCAGATCTGCAGATGATAGTAAACAGTGAAGTAGTGAAAAGTTTGACTGCTTTGGATAACAGAATCAGGAAGTAATAGACTGGAGCCATGGACCAAGTCCAACTACATACTATATGTAGCACCATAACATGTGGTGCAGCCCTGGAAGGTGTCTGAGCTGGCTGGATGTAATGGCCACAGGTGTGGCACATCAGGGGACAGTGTAGGGACTTTCTGTTGCCTGTAAATTCCATAGGAATCAGTAGTCTGCTGCCAAAACACTAACTATCCATGGCTGCGTTAATACAAAGTATAATACCCAAAAGAAGGAAACTGAATACAACCTGGAAAAGTGATAGATATTAGGGCATGGGTTAGAGTTAAATGGAATAATAGATATAAGAGCACACTGTGTTCTTCAAATCACCAAATGAAACAGAATGTTCAAGGCCAAGGGGAGGAGGCCTGGTTCAGAGTAGGAGTTTAGCAATGCCCCAGGCCGGTACTCAGGTTACTCCAGACCTGTATTATTGGGTTCTATTCTGGGATAAAACTCACAGCAGTTGTATGGCTCCTACCGTGTATGAGGCATTGTCCTAAGCCCTTTACATGTGTTTTTGTTGTTAGTTGCTATTGCGGTGTCTCCAACTCATGGCAACCTTCTGTACAACAGAACAAAACACTGCCCAGTCCTGTCCCATCTTTATGATCACTGGCATGCTCAACTCCATTGTTGTGGCCACTGTGTATTTTGAGTGCTTCCCAACCTAGGGGGAGCTCATCTTCCAGCACTATATCGGTCCATGGCTCCAGTCTATTACTTTCTGCTTCTGTTGTCTAAAGCATTCAAACTTTTCATTACACTACATACTCTTGGCGATCTATAGGGTTTTCAATGGCTAGTTTTCAGAACCCTAAGAAGTAGTTACCATTATCAATCCCATTTGCAAATCCAAGAAGTAATAAATAGAAGAGCCAGGGCTTGAATCCAGGTATCTGGCCCTAGAAGCCACCCTTTTAGCCACAACACCACATTGACTTAGGGAGACAAACCAGCCAAAGAGAGCAATGGGGATGGTACCATATTATGTTGTTGTTCTTATGTGCTGTCGAGTTGGACCTGACTCATAGCAACCCCTCCTTGGGTTTCCAAGGCAGTATCACTGGTAGCGTAGTGCCTAAAGCACTTGACTGCTAACCAGAAGGCTGGTGGTTCAAACCCACCAGCCACTCCTCAGAAGGAAGGTTGGGCAATCTACTTCCGTAGTGATACTGCCTTGGCAACACAAGGAGGGGTTGCTATGAGTCAGGGCTGACTCAACGGCACATAACAACACAACAACAATCACTACGGAAGTAGATTGCCCAACCTTCCTTCCGAGGAGTGGCTGGTGGGTTTGAACCGCCAGCCTTCTGGTTAGCAGTCAAGTGCCTTAGGCACTATGCTACCAAAGCTCCCATATCATAGTAGACTAAAAATAACTAAGGCTTTTAGTTTCTAGTTTCATCTGTATTCTCTTGTTTGATCCTTACAACAGCCCTAAGTCAACCATTAAAAGCTGATGCTCACTCACTTGCTATTCACTCAGAGCTCCTGCCCTGAAGCAGACCTCTCCTTGGTTCCAAACAAATGTCCTGTTTTGTTTGGTGATCTGAGGAATTCAGTATGTTCTTATGTATATTATAGCATTTAATTCTCACCCATGCCCTAACATTTCTGTTACAGATCATATTAGTTTTCTGTTGCTGTGTTGAGTATGGTGTGACTAGGTTCTCAGGGCTGAAATCAGGGTATAGGCTAGACTGAGTTCTCATCTGGAGACTCTGGAGAAGAATCTACTTCTGAGTAGATTTCAGTTCCTTGTGTTTGTAGGACTGAGGTCCCATATTCTTGTTGTTGGCTAAGGTTTGCTCTCAGCAACTAGAGACCCCCTCAGGCCCCTTCCACATGGTCCCCTCTGTCTTCAAACCAGCAAAGGTCCATTGAATCTTTCTTGTGATTAAAACTTCTTTGACTTCCTTTTCTATAACCAGTCAGAGATAAACCTTTTAAAGGATTCATATGATTAGGTCAGACCTACTTGGATAATCTGTTTTAAGATCAACTATGCCATATGACAAAAGGAGCCATGGTGGTGCAGTAATTAAGTGCTTAACTGCTAATTGAAGTTGGTGTTTCGAACCCACCAGCTGCTTCACAGGGGAAAGATGTGGCATTCTGCTTCCATAAACATTTATAGTCTGGGAAACCTTGTAGAGCAGTTCTACTCTGTCCTATAGGGTCACTATGAGTTGGTATCCACTTGACACAGTGCGTTTGGTTTTATTTTATCCCATATGACAGAACCTAATCATAGTCTTGGGGACTATGCAGGATGTGTACACCAGGGAGATTGGAAATCTTGGGAGGGGGGGCATCTGAAATTCTGCCTCTCACACAGGTGAACAAATAGAGGCTCCAAGAAGTTAAGTGCTGGGTGCAAAGTAGAGTTTGGTGGACCCTAAGGCCACTCTGCTACACCATCCACCCAAAGAGGACATGAGGATCTGGCCCTGCACCAAGAACAGCATTTTGGGGAGAAGCTGGGGTCTTGGGCCGCCTGGGATCAGGTCGAGATTTTATTGTCTCAAGTTGATGCCTATTTGACCATGTTTTTCCACCATCTCCTACAGGATTCAAGGCATAAACCTGGCACCCTCGAACTAGTTCATGGAGGATCCTCAAGAGATACTGGCTGGGCAAGCTCTCCCCTCCAGAGGAAAGAGCTGTGTGTAGAGGAGGGTGGCTGCCACAGGAGTGGACATGAATGCTGGCTTCCAAAGAGAAGAGCGTTTTAGTTTTGGTCACCGGAAGTGGTGCCTTCAGCACAGGTAAGAAATGACTGTCACCAAATATGCTTGCGGGGGCACCATTTTGATGTTTCTTATATGAGCTTGTTTGGGTTCTTCCTCTTAAAAATTTATTATTGTTATTATTGCCTTCCTTGAGCCTCTGTGAAGGCTGTGCTGGAAGTTCTGGGGACATCCTAGTGCCTCCATGTACCATTTGTTTCATCCTGCTCACATCAGAGTTAGATGTTTATGGATCTCCTTTATTCACAGTCTTGGCATGGTCTGGATTTATTCAGCTAGGTGTGCAGTAGACACTTGAGCTAGGCCAGAGACAGAAACCTCTGAATGGCACAAGCAGAGATGTAGGAGCTGTCATGGAGGATACAGCTGGGGGCTTTTTCTACAATCTGCCATTTGCCCCTCTCTTGCTTCCCTCCCAACCTCTTTTCTCATCCATGGAAGCTCTGCTGGTCGCATGGAAAGATCTGTAAGGATGGGACTTGCCCACAGGGAAATGAGCTGTCAGTCCCAAGAGAAATCTGGCTCCGCCCCTTCTGTACTTTCCCTGGGCATCAAGAGCATCTGTGATCAATGGGGTACTGACTCAGTGTTTCTAAAGTGTCTAGGCTGTCGTGATGACTGCTGGCACAGCTTTCCTTGGCCATCAGGGTTGGGGCTGGAGGTCTCAGGGCCCAGGCTGTCAGATGTGCCAGGCAGGAGGTGTCAGCATGTCACCCTGCAGGGGAGTCACAAACTTCCCTGTTCTGGGGAGGGTGAGAAGGCCCATTAGCACCATCTAGGGCTTGTGGACAGCTGTGTTTGGAGCTAGTTGAGGACTGGGAGAAGTGGAGCCTGTAGGAACAGCAAGGGCCCTCTACTGAAGAGGGGTGGTGACTTGCCCCTGGTCCCAGGGAGTTAGGAGGGATGATCACCTAAGCCTTTGGGCTCCCTGTGGGCCCTGTGTTTGTTGGGTCCTAAGCAACTTCCCAAGAGGGTGAGGACTTGGCAGTCAGGGATGTCAGAGTTCCAGGCCTGGCTCTGCAACTTTCTCTAACCCATCTGAGTCTCAGTTTTCCCATCTGTGGTAATAATGACACATGTGTCCAAAGGTTGTCTTCGGTGGAAGGACAATACCATCTCACATAGGAAGTCTTTGATAAACAGTCTTCTCTTACTGTTCCTCTCCACTTCCCCCTCTCCAGGCAGGGTCTCTCTCTCTCTCCAGAGCAAAAGATTCAGGGAGTCTTTTGGGTCAGCTTGACTCAGACCTCCACCCCTAGATTCAGGGAGGTTTTGCTTTCTCCTCTTTATTGGCCATAAAGAATCCAGCTCCGGATCATGGGCTGTTAGACCTGGAGAGGCTGTATCAGTTACAAGTGTCCAGACAAACATAGAAATAGGTTCAGCAAAACAACCACGAAGTTGATTCCTGCAGATTTGCTGCCCTCTCAAATGGCAAATCTCCTGGGACCAAAGCTTCCCTTAACTAATGAGCTGGACTAGAGGGGAGAGCCAGAGTTGTATTTTCTACACATTTCCACGTGGTAGTGGCTAGAATCATGGCATATCCACACTGACTAGACTTTTGAGATCATCTGAATTCAGCCATCTATATGTGAAAAGGAAGCTGAGACCCAAAAATGACTCTTTTCTTCTCATGCTGCAAGCTAGTAAAAGAGCTGGGGTGAGGAGTCATGTCTCCTGTTTCCTGGACAGCTCTGTAGACCACACCCCACCATCTAATTGGCATATGCCGTGCTGGCTGATTGTGGTATTTGTGTGGGGAGGATACTGGAATCTAGTGGGATGGGGAAGGTTTTAGCAAGCTATTAGAGAAGATTTGACCCCAGACCAAATGTTGTTGTTGTTAGCTGTCATAGAGCCATCTCAACTCATGACACCTGGCCCCATGCATGATGGAGCCAACACTACCCGATCCCTCACTATCCCCATGATTGGTTGTGGATCAGACTGTTGTGATCCACAGCTTTTCCAGTGGCTGGTTTCATAGAAGTAGATCACCACACCCTTCTTCTGAGGCAACTCTGAATAGACTCAGCCTCCAACAGAAAAGTTGGATTTCATGCAAGACTTGATTTTTAAAAATGACTTCAAAAATAGTATCAAAGTTTGAAACTACTAGCAGAGAGCATTGTGGTTGAGAAAATGCTTTCATATCCATTTTTCAATGAGATTCTTCCTCTAGTCATTCATCCAGAAATCATTCTTACTCTGGTTGCTACTACACTTTTTACAGGGTTAATCCTAACCTATCTGCTGTACAAAAAAGACTCAGAATTTCAGAGGTGGAAGGAAACCTAGAAGTCATCTAGTCCTAGCATCCCTGTGTTGTTATTGTTGTTAGGTGCCGTTGAGTCAGCTCTGACTCACAGCAACCACATGTACAACAGAGACATTGCCTGGTCATGTGCCATCCTCACAATCCCTGCTACACTTGAGCCCATCACCATAGCCACTGTGTCAATCCATCTCGTTGAGGGCCTTCCCCTCTTTGCTGACCCTCCACTTTACCAAGCATGACATCCTTCTCCAGGGAATGATCCTTTCTGACAACACAACCAAGTAAGGTGAGACAAAGTCTGGCCATTCTCTCTTCCAAGAAGCATTCTGGCTGCACTTCTTCCAGGACAGATTTGTTAGTTCTTCTGGCAGTCCGTGGTACTTTCATTATTCTTCTCCAACACCACAACTCAAAAGCATCAATTCTGCTTTGATCTTCCTTATCATTGTCCAGCTTTCACATGCTTATGAGGCAATTGAAAACACCATGGCTTGGGTTAGGCATACCTTAGTCTTCAAAGAGACATTTTTACTCTTTAGCACTTTAAAAAGGTCTTTTGCAGCAGATTTGCCCAGTGCAACACATCATCTGATGTCTCGACTGCTACTTCCATGGGTATTGATTGTGTATCTTAATAATATGAAATCTTTCACAACTTCAATCTTTTCTCCATTTATCATGATGATGCTTATTGGTCCATTTGTGAGGATTTTTTTTTTTCTTTTATGTTGAGGTGTAATCCATATTGCAGACTGTAGTCATTAATCTTCATCTGTAAGTGCTTCAAGTCATCTTCACATTCAGCAAGCAAGGTTGTGTCATCTGCATATCGCAGATTGTTAACAAATCTTCCTCCAACCCTGATGCTGTGTTCTTCTTCATATAGTCCAGTTTCTCAGATTATTTGCTCAGCCTACAGATTGACCACCTTTCTTTGGAATGGGTACAAGTATGGATCTCTTCCAGTCAGTTGGCTATGTAGCTGTCTTCCAAATCTCTTGGCATAACCAAGTGAGTGCCTCCAGCAGGGCATCCATTTGTTGAAATATCTCAATGGGTATCCCGTCAATTCCTGGAGCCTTGCTCTTCACCAATTCCTTCAGTGCAGCTTTGACTTCTTCCTTCAATACCATTGGTTCTTGAACATACGCCACCTCCTAAAATGGATGAAGATGACCAGTTCTCTTTGGTACAGTGACTCTGTGTATTCCTTCCATCTTCTTTTGATGTTTCCTGCATCATTCAATATTTTGCCCACAGAATCTTTCAATATTGCAATCGAGGCTTAAATTTTTTCCTCAGTTCTTTCAGCTTGAGAAATGCTGAGCATGTTCTTCCCTTTTGATTTTATAACTCCAGGTCTTTGCACATTTCATTATTATTGGCTTTGTCTGCTTGAGCTGCTCTTTGAAATCTCCTGTTAAGCTCTTTTATCTTGTCATTTCTTCCATTTGCTTTAGCTACTCTCCGCTCAAAGGCAAGTTTCAGAGTCTCTTCTGACATCCATTTTGGTCTTTTCTTCTTTTCTTGTCTGTTTAATGACCTCTTGCTTTCTTCATGGATGATGTTCTTGATGTCATCCCACAGTTCTTCTGGTTTTCAGTCATTGGTGTTCAATGCATCAAATCTATTCTTTAGATGATCTCTAAATTCAGGAGGGATATTATCAAGGTCATATTTTGGCTCTCATAGACTTGTTTTAATTGTCTTCAGCTTCAACTTGAACTTGCATATGAGCAATTAATGGTCTGTTCCACAGTCAGCTCCTGGCCTTGTTGTGATTAAAGATATTGAGCTTCTCCGTCACCTCTTTCCACAGTTGTAGTTGATCTGATTCCTGTGTATTGCATCTGGCATGATACACATGTATAGCCACTGTTTATGTTGTTGACAAAAGGTATTTGTGATGAATAAGTCATTGGTCTTGCAAAATTCTATCAGGCTATCTCTGGTATCATTTCTAACACTAAGACCATATTTTCCAAGTACTGGTGATTCTTCTTTGTTTTCAACTTTCGCATTCCAATCACCAGTAATAATCAATACATCTTGATTGCATGTTTGGTCAATTTCCAGGCTGCAGAAGTTAATAAAAATCTTCAATTTCCTCATCTTTGGCTTTAGTGGTTGATGCGTGAATTTGAATAATAGTATTAACTGGTCATCCTTATAGGCGTAGTATGGATATTATCCTATCACTGATAGCATTGTACTGCAGGATAGATCTTGAAACATTCTTTGTGACAATGAATGCCATGCCATTCCTCTTCAATTTGTCATTCTCAGCATAGTAGATCATATGGTATCTGATTCAAAATGGCCAAACCAGTCCATTTCAGCTCACTAATGCCTAGGATATAAATCTTTATGCATTCCATTTCATTTTTGACAACTTCCAATTTTCCTAGATTCATACTTTGTGCATTCCACCACTCATCTGTCAGTTTGTCATACTGTGGTGGCTTGTGCGTTGCTATGAAGCTGGAGGCTATGCCACCAGTATTTCAAATACCACCAGGGTCACCCATGGTGGACAGGTTTCAGCAGAGCTTCCAGACTAAGACAGATTCAGAAGAAAGAAGAGGCCATCCACTTCTCAAAGAATTGGCCAGTGAAAACCTGGCCAATTTAAAAAACTAGCAGTGAAACACTGTCAGATATATTACTGGAAAACTTTATGAATAGCATCCCTGTCATCCCTAAACCCAGTTGCCATAAGGTTGATTCCTACTCATGGTGATGTGACCTCATGTATATGAAAGTAGTCCTGCCTCTCACTTCCTGCCTAACTTGGGTCCAGGAAGATCCATAGCATGTTCAATGGCTGATTTGTCAGAAACAGATCACCAGGTCTTTCTCCCTGAGCAATGTTGGGTGGACTGAATCTCCAACCTTTTGATTAGCCGCTAAATGCGTTAACCATTTGCATCACCTAACTTGGAAGTCCTTCAAATTGAGCAGAAAATATATGTTAACCTCCACATCACTTGCTGGACTGGCCATTACCAATTTGCACCCCAGCTTCATTCTGCCTCCTTCTCTGCCCAGGAATCTATGATCTAGATTCCGTCATTCTCCAGTGTTTGGTTGGGTTCTGCCTGAGAGGCACTGGCAGAGTTTAGGAGCGTAGAAGGAGAGAGTGGTAGGATTTCTTTTTCCCTGCTCCCTCCCTGCTTCCAAGCTGCCCTCTCCCAGGGCTTCAGCTCTCACCAGGGTCTGACCTCCCTTTGCCACACCAGGCCTAGAGCTGGTCATGGTTTTGTTTGGCTTGGTTGCAGAGTGTTATGGATTGAATTGTGTTCCTCAGAAATGTGTGTTGTGATCCTAACCTCTATGCCTGTGGTTATAATCCCATTTGGGAATGGGTTGTTTTTGTTATATTAACGAGGCAGGATTAGTGTAGAGCTATCTTGAGTTCATCTCTTTTGCAATATAAAAGATATTAAAACAAGCAAGCTAGGAAGCAGATAGGGAAGAGAGATGCCAAGCCATATGAAGATTGCCCAGAAGCAGAAGCTCAGAAGAGACAAGGACCTTCCTTCCAGAGCCAACAGAGGGAGCCTTGCCTTAGAGCTGGCACCCTGAATTTGGACTTCTAGCCTCCTAAACTGTGAGAAAATAAATTTTTATTTGTTAAAGCCACCCACTTGTGGTATTTCTGTTATAGCAGCACTAGAGAACTAAGACAGACAGTATCAAGAAAATTCTAAATCCCTTCTATAAGATGATGGGAATGGTCACAGACTTCTAACAGCTTGCCTTGCAACCACAGGATGTCTTCCGTTCAATGCTATCTGAATGTTTAGGGAGAGGGAGAAGGAAATTCTGGTATGAGTTTCTGACAGTATCAAACAACTGTTTGAATGCTAGGCTGGGGAAGGAAACAGGGAGTGGGAAAGTGACATCAGGGGCTGCAGAGGGGGCAATGGGCTGAGTCAGGACACCAAGCCAGAGTTGTACAGGAAGAAGGTGTTGTGATCTTAAGCCAGTATTTGTGAGTGACAATATCAGGGCCCCAAGGGGGCAGTGGCTGGGGTTGGACAATGGCTTTAGGCATTTAAGTCAAAGCCCACAGAACCAGGAATAAAACCCAGGAGTCCAATTCCCAGGCCTGCCGGCCCTCTCCCCAGTGGGGGCAACCAGGAAAAGGGGGGCTAGCCTGATGACTTTAGGTGGCTGTGGGCTAAAGAAGGTCCCTGGGGAATAAAAAAGGTACCAGTCCTTTCTGAGGTTTTGCTGCTTACCCCATGGTGGGGGGGGGGTACATTTTTAGATTTTAAAAGGATGATCTCATTTTTTTTTCTTATTTACATGGCCCTGTTTGTTTATCTAGTCCTTTAAAAATAGCAAACGTGTGCTAAGCTTAGTGCTCTTTCTCCCACCACCAGAGGCAGAGCCACTGTGTGGGGAGAAACACCTTTTTATCTAAGAGAGGGGCAGCCTTGTTCCCAGGGACAGATGGGAGCAAAACGGGACAGGTAGGAAGTTTCGTGGTTTTTCATGTCGCTTCTCCAAAATAGCCACAGTCCTGCCTCCCACTTCCTGCCTGACTTGGCTCCAGAAAGAATGTCTACTTAAGAGGATTCATGTTCTATGAAGTCTCAGGGAGGCTTGAAGAGATCTGTCAACAAGTAAACGTGTTTGACTCCGAAGACCTTGAGATTGGCACTGAGGGCCCCAGCTGGGTAAAGAGTCCAGCTTGAGTTTAGACCATCAGGGTTTACACTCTGGCTTTGCTGAATCCTAGCTGTGTGACCTTGCACAAGCTACTGTACCTCTCTGTGCCTCATCTGTAAGAGGAGCATAGTAACACTACCTCTCAAGGAGTTGCTGTGCACATTAGATGAGAGGCACTGTGTGTAAGGGATTTAACTAAGTGTGAGCACATAGCAATTTCTTAATAAACAGCAACAATGTTGTTGCTAATATCCGTTCCCCACCTGCACATGCTTGGTAAAGTGGAGGGTCAACTAAAAAGGGGAAGGCCCTCAACAAGATGGATTGACACAGTGGCTGCAATGATGGGCTCAGGTATAGCAGGGATCATGGGGCTGGCACAGGAGCGGGCAGTGTTTCATTCTGTTGTACATAGGGTTGCTATGAGTCAGAGACGACTCGACAGCACCTAATAGCACAAAAACCTGGACGATTGTACCAGCCTCCCAGGTACTTTCCCTTCCTGCAGGCTTGTCTGCTCCAGCCCATTCTTCATGTCATCCTAGAGGGATAAAAAGGTAAAACATAAATATGACCATGTGTCCCCTGCTTAAAATCTGCCTATGGCTTCCCACCATCTACAGCAAGGGTCAGAAAACTTCTTTCTGCAAAGGGCCAAATAATAAATATTTTAAGTTTTGCAAGACACACTGTCTCAGTGGCAGTTACTCACCTCAGCAGGAGCTCTGGCAGTGTAGTGCCTAAGGCATTTGACTGCTAACCAGAAGGCTGGCAGTTCAAACTCAGCAGCCGCTCCTCTGAAGGAAGGTTGGACAATCTACTTCCATAGTGATACTGCCTCAGAAACCCAAGGAGGGGTTGCTATGAGTTGGGTCCGACTCAATGGCACGTAACAACAACAACAGCTGTAGTAGCACAAAAGCAGACAGAGAATACATAAATGAATGGACATAGCTGTGTTCCAATAAAACTTTATGCACAAAAACAGGCAATGGGTTGGATTTGCCAACCCCTGGCCTCCTAGATGAGTCCAACCCTTTCGCTCAATAGTTCAAATCCGTCTCTTGTTCCTATCTGCCTTCCTCCCCTCCTCTACTCCTTTGCTGTAATCCTCACATTTTAATCCTTTGCACATGCTGCTCCCTCCTTCTGAGCTTTCCTTCCCTGCTCCCTTGTGCCCCTCCTCCCATGTACTGGGAACCCCTGGTCTTGGATTTGGTGACACCCCATCTCTGTTTCCACTATGATCATGTGTGCAATTCCCGTCTCTGACACTGGAGCGGTTAGGCCCTCCAAGCAAGGATTTTGCCTTCTTCTTCTGGAGCCCAGTACCCAGGAGGCTGAGTCTTTCCATGACAAGGAAATGGCAAGTGAAGAGCAGTCTAGTTCTGGTTTTGGGATGGTGAATGGCTAGATGAGCCTGGCTGCAGCTGAGCCCTTCTATGGGGAGACTGATGGGGCCTACATCTGGAAAGGGGAGCTAGGACCTGATCAGTGTCTGGGAAGATGATAAGGGATTTTAGATTTTATCTCTTGAGCCGGAGTTTCTCCAAGTAGGGTCCATAAACCTCCCACAACAGAATTACATGGGGCGTTTCTTTAAAATGCAGATTCAGGGACCCTGTCTGAGACTGGAGGCCAGGAGGCTGCAGCCAGTTAAGGCTGTGGTCTGTAAGAGGAACAAGGCTGCAACATGCCTAGAATGATGATCATAAATATTCTTCAGATTGGTGTTACCTGGAGAAAGTGGTGTCACTGTGTCTTCACATTCAGGTTGGGGAGTTGTGAGGCAGGAATGAATAATCCCCTGAAATGGACCTCCAAGCTCAGACATGGCACATGACTTTCCCAACGTCAAACTACAAATTACTTGTAGATCTGGGACTTACTCATTCTGGAGCAGGCTTCCAGGCATGTGAATGTCCCCAGTGCCCAGCACAGCCTGGTGCACAGTGGGTGTTTAATAATTTTTAATTAACAAGATAATGGATGGGAGAGCGGATGGGTGGATGGATGAATGGGTAGGTGGGTGGCTGATTTTGGTACAAAGGAGAGTGGGGTTCAAAGGTGGCCCTGAAGTTGTAAGCCTGGGGTTTAGGAAAACAGTGGTACCAGAGGCAGATGAGAAGAAAAGATGGATCTGGTGCTGAGCATATTGAATGTGAGAAGCCAGAGGGATGGCCAAGCCAATGGACAGCAGCTGAAAATGCAGGATTGAGGAGTGCTAGGAAGCGGGCATAGTGATGTGCACAGCTATGGAAAGTGGCCAAGAACATGGAGAGAAAGACAAGTAGGGAATTCAGGACCACAGCCTGAGGAATGAGCACATGTACGCAGGAGGAGAAAGGAAAGGCTCAAGTCAAAGAGTCAGCAAAGAAGTGGCTTAGAGAGGCAAGAGCAGAGTCAGGGTGGGGCCAGGACAGATAGGAAAGTGAGGATTGTGAACAGCCAGTCACCTGTGTCATCACTAGTTAGGGCCCCTCTTTACAGCCAGCCAACCTCAAAGAAATGGTGTCATGAGTAAATGAAAGTGTTCATCACAATACAACTGAAATCATGAGTTTCTGTTTGCTTGATACTTATGCTCCCAGCCAGTGTCACTGCAGGTGTGGGGAAAGCGAATGAGAACTGCCTTCCTGCCTGTCCCAACAGGCCCTGCCATTTCATCTCCATTCAGGCTCTATTTGGCATATTTCCTTGGGATCATTTGGCTACCCCTGAGCCTTCGTTTTCCTCTCCTGTGTCTATCTTAGCACCTTTTCCCTTTCCTTCCATCTCTCTTATTTATTCATTCAACAGATATTTGTTATCAGGAATAAATCTCTGCAAAAGGATTCAGGTAAGGTTCCCAAACCTGGCAGGGCCTATAAGTCATCTGGAGAACTTTAAAAATATACAGATTCCTGGACTTGCAAACTCAAGGTGCCTAAAAGGAGGCAGTGCCTAGACAGCACAAACGGTTAAGTGCTTGACAAAAAGCTTTTGTTGGCTCAAACCCACCCAGAGGTACCTTGGGATATAGGCCTGGCAGATCTGTCTTGAAAGCCCTATGTAACAGTTCTACACTGCACACATGAGGTTGCCTTGAGTCAGAACTGACTTGACAGCAACTAACATCAACAAAAAAGCAGGGTGTATCCCCTGTGCCTAGGTCCTCACAAGCAGCCTGGTCTGACCAGCCTCTGCTTGGAGGGGAAGGTGAGGAGGCCCAAATGTCTAAGTATTTCCAAAAAAAAGTTGTTGTTAGAAGCACTTGGAATAAGGAAGACTGAAGAAGAATTGAGGCATTTGAATTGTGATGTTGGTGAAGAATATTGAAAATGCCATGGACTGCCCAAAGAACAAAACAATATGTCTTGGAAGAAGTGCAGCCAGAATGCTCCTTAGAAGTGAGAATGACCAGACTTCATCTCACATACTTTGGTCATGCTGTCAGAGGGGACCAATTCTTGAAGAAGGACGTCATGCTTGGTAAAGTAGTCGTTAGGTTGTTAGGTGTCATTGAGTGGTCTCCAACTCATAGCAACCCTATGCACAGCAGAATGAAACACAGCTCCATGATTCTTGCTACACTTGAGCCCATCGCTGCTGCCACCATGTCAATCCACCTCGTTGAGGGCCTTCCCCTCTTTCATCGACCCTCCACCTTACCAAGCATGACATCCTTCTCCAGGGAATGGTTCCTTCTGATAACATTACCAAAGTATGTGAGATGAAGTCTAGCCAATCTTGCCTCCAAGGAGCATTCTGGCTGCACTTCCTCCAGGACAGACCTCTAAGTTATTTTAACAGTCCACGGTACTTTCAGCATTCTTCGCCAACATCACAGCCCAAAAGCCTCAACTCTTCTTCGGTCCTCCTTATTCATTGTCCAGCTCTCACATGCATATGAGGTGATTGAAAATACCATGACTTGTGCCAGGTGCACCTTAGTCCTCAAGGAGACATCTTTGCTCTTCAGCACTTGAAAGAGGTCCTTTGCAGCCTATTTGCCCAGTGCTATATGTCATTTGATGTCCTGACTGATGCTTCTATTGGTGTCGATTGTAGAACCAAGCAATGTGAAGTCTGACAATTTCAATCTTTTCTCCATTTATCATAATGCTGCTTATATGCCGCTTATAATGTGAGGATTTTTGTTTTCTTTATATTGAGATGTAATCCATACTGCAGACTGTATTCTTCAATCTTCATCAGTAAGTACGTCAAGTCATCCTCACTTTCAGCAAGCAAAGTTGTGTTGTTAGCATATTGCAGGTTGTTAATGATTCTTCCTCCAATCCTGATGCCAT